GATGAACTGAACTTACATTAAGACCCTTTTCCCATTAAACCAAGATTTTGTTAGATCAACTCAGACTTTAGGTGTCAGTGGACAAAGGATGGTTCTTTTTTTGCAGAAAAGGCAATTCATCACTGTTCATCAATGTCTGGTAAATAGGAACTCACTCTGGCTCCAATGAGAAAGCACTGCTCACCAAGACTCGTCCCATTTGCAGCAAACAGTCTGAGCAAGGATACTTAATGGTATCCTTAGCAGTAAAATCATGAAAGATCAATCCCAAATATTAAGCTAGAATTGGTACTGCACAGAAAACAACCCTTAATTTGATGTCCTGTCCTGCAGCACACTAGATGCAAACATTTCATTGACAGTAATTCAACATACGTGCTGCTACCATGCTAGGATGCAAAGTCTTAAATACAGCAGCTTAGTGGTTCCTCTAAACCACTGGAATGCTCCATGTCTCCATAAAATGTTCGTCTTTGTCAAGCATTTCACTGCCACTGTTCACCTGGATGACCTTTGGAAGGAGCAGCAGAGGCTGACGTGCACCTTCATTAAAGTAGCGCCTCCTTCTTCCCCCGCCTGCGAGAACAATGAGCTCAGGAGGGAAGAGGTGAGCAATCCACGGAGTAATGAAGAGATTTTGTTTCAGAGGGTTATCAATTATTTATGAGCAAATCCCCAGATGAACACATCTGAGGCTGAGCAGTTTTTAATACATTTCACTTCTGTACACACGGCCCAATACAACCAGATGCGAACTAAACTGGACTGGTCTGATCATTCCAGGTGTCAAACCTCAAAGTGAGTTCAGTCTGGACATCAGTAAATCACCATTATGTTTTTCAAATTACAATGGTCTCCTAGATTTAAATCTCTTTCAAAAAAGTCCTCTAAGAGTCATAGAAATCATTATTTACAATATTTCCCATTCATCAAGATCTCAGCAAAGAAAAATCTTATCCTGAAGAATTTCTGTAATTATGCTGATGCAGTTGTCTAAGTAGTCTAATACTCAAATTCTGATATTGCCCAGCTGTGAATGGGATTTTGCTCCACAAATGGATTAAATGGATCTGAAGTTTTCTTATTAAGAAAAGGTAAGACCAAGCAAAGGTCTTTTTCTCCAGAGCAGGGTTTATCTTTTTGAAACAAGGACATGCTTTTAAAGTAAAATTGTTTTACAACTGTGCTTTTTAAAGAGAAGATCTGAAAACTCTTTCTATGATATGGGAAAGGCAAACATTACACACTCTTTACAATCAAGGGCAATTAAGCCAAACAGTTTTATGTATAAGACATGCTTTGCACAAAAAGTGATTAATCTGTTTACAAATGCTATCATTAAAAATAGTCATCCTGGAAGACTTGAAATGAAACCAAATCCATTGTCACGCAGTGAATGCCCAGATCTGCAGAACTGTGCTTTGAACTCCAGTCTCCCACAGCTTCCAACCAACAGGATGCTGCAAAGTCACCACTTCACTTACTGCGTCTATGGCAGGTGTCCTGATGGCTCCGAGGCCACCTTTAACACCCAGCTCAGGTGCTCTGAGCCAGGACCCCACCTGGGGCACTCCAGGGTGTGTCCTGCAGAGCAACCCTGCAGTCAGGTTTGCACCTGGCCAAGCAGTGGCACACCATGCCCAGGTGGCCCCGGAGGACAGCAGCCAGTCGTCCTGAGCTTGGGGAGCTCTCGGTGCAGCCTGGGCTGAGCACAGCCAAGGGGGAACAGACAGCAGGTCCTCTTGGAGCCAGGTCTGCAAGCTGCCTTCCAAAGGGAAATGTCTGGGGAGGCACTCATCAAATAATACATTTTAAACTACACATGGAATGAGCACCTCCTGCCTTTACTGCACAACACCCCAGGAGAAGAGCTGGGTCTCTCACATTCCTGCTGCCCTCTCCCCTTCAGGCCAGCGTTCACCTCAGTATCTTCACAGCTCCAGGAGCAAGTTCCACTCCTGGCCTAACCTGGGTAGACTAAACTGCTCCAATATTAAGAAAACAAAAAATAAAAAGCCACTTAGAAATCCATTTTAGATTTGTTTGCATTACTTTAAAGGGTTTGCTATATATTTGGATGAAAGAAGCCCATTAAGTACATCTATATTTACTTCATTACAGCGTGGCTCTTGAAGTTAGATGAAAAGATTTACCCTGGCCAAGTTTGTTTATTCATCAACATCAGCTAGATGTATTTTCAAAGGCTCATCCTCATTGCATTTACATGAAAGCACACAGGCTTTTTTTTTTTTAACACTTGTAAGGCATTCTTAGAGGTATGAAAGGGCAAAAGAAACTTTAGTGAGAATTACAAAATCAAGGAACAGTAGATGCAAAATTTCTGCTTATTAATGAGGGTGGAAACCCACTCTTTCCCACCTGGAGTCATTCTTCTCACCCTGCAGATTATCAACAGCAACAAACTGCAGCTGGATGCTCAGTGTGCCTGACTAAGCCCCAGTAAAGGCATCTGGCACACTGCTTACCCACGAACACAAGGGAAGTGTTAACCCCTCCTAAAGCTCAAGATCTTAAGCAAATGTAGCCTCCCAAGTTTATAAAGTTTTTCTCTGCACTCTGACAAGAAAAAATTTGGTCTTTTTTTCCCCCACAGGTGGCACTGAAGATGAGCTCTTCATTCCTGTTAGCAAAGTATGAAGTAGAAGCCCAGCCAATCAATGATCGAAGTCAACTGTACAAGTCCCAGTTATCTTTGACAGGAACCCAAACATAACTGGGTACTTGCATGCCTTTATTATCAACATTTTATCCTCAAGTTATTTAAATATTTAAATGACATTTATGGGCACTATCTTTCCTCATGAGTTTACACTTTCCCACGGAAGACTTCCAGAGTGATTAACAATGCTGATCTTTATCCTTCACACTGACTATTCATTCATCCTTTATAAAACGAATACTGCTTACATATGACCCAAGAGGGCTGTAACAAGGCAGTATTTATCTACCCTAATAATCTGCTGTGGCTGCTTTAATTAAAACTGGGTTATATCACATCCATGAAGCAAAGGCACACCTCCTGTCACTCGAATCCACCTCACAGCTGCACTTGGTGCACCTTCTCAAGAGCAAGCTTTGGAGGTCCCACCACCTGCAGCTTGCCCACCCTGCCCAGGTAACTGAGGGAACCGTGTTGCCAAAAAAACCTGCTTCACCACAGAAGAGAAGCAGAATGAAACTGCAGAGGGGCTTGCAGTCTGGGGCCTTGAAGGAGTCACTGAACACCTGCAGGCTGCCACTCACCCCAGTTCACAAGCAGGGCACCACTGCTGGCATGGCACATTGGGATTTTGGGAGGTGAGGGACCAGGGAGAAGGAGTGACTGATGGAGAACCTCTGGCACAGTGCAGCAATTCAGAGCATTGATGGGTACCAGGACAGAGATGGGGGAACAGCAACCAAGGACATCTCAACTATCTGCAGTAAATTGGCAGCCAAATCAGGATTCAGCTTCCTCATCTGTGTTGCAGCTCTCATGGGTCCTCCATGAGCTCATATGACTGCATAGTGATTTCAAAATTTAGAATTTACTTCTTGTAATATTGCACAAACGAGTGTACACTGCTCACCGTTCCATGTTTCACTCCATGCAAGCAGTATCTTATAATATAAAAATTTACAAATGGACCGTTTTCCCATGGAAGAAACTTGAGTTTCTTCCCTCACCAGAATTCTTTTGGCATTATTATACACAGTGTAAGGCAGTAGCAGCACTGATGGCATCCCTGGGATGCTGGGATGGGCAGCAAGCAGTCAGGGCAGCCTGCCTGCAAGCTACAGCTGTGCAACCTGGGCCTCATTCAGCACCTCTCCCCTGCTGGCTCCATGCAGGGCTGGGCCAGCAGTTGCCATACACTCAGCAAACCCTCGAACATGGGAGGGAGCCAGTCCCCATCTCAGCTTAGCAACCTGGGGATAAGGGTGAGTGGCAGCCCTCTGCACCCCTTCACCCTGCCTGGGCTCCCTCCCAGCCCCAGCACAACCCCCACACTTTAGGACACCCGCCCCTCCCCACTGCCGCTCCAGGGCTGAGCTACCCTCACATCCTCTGCCTGAAACCTGCCCCATTCTCAAGACCTGGAAGCAGAGGCATTGCTGTAGGGGCATGGGTAATGTTATTTGAATGATTTATTGTTTTCATTGACACATGGTTTTGAGTCTTCTTGGTCTATTAATCTTATTCTTGCATTATATTTTACAGTTACAAACTATATGGGTTTGGAACTACTTTGAAAAAGCGCCTCAATTCTCTAGCCCTGTCCTTACTGGAAGTAAAATAACTGTCCTGTTCCAGCCATTGAACTCTACAGCACTTCACCATGGGCATCAATGAGCTGATAAACTCATTTAATTCCCTTATATGTCAATTAAGTTGCTATTACCCTAGGAAAGAGGGTTCCTTAAACTAAATGCCACTACATGTCCAGCAAGAAAAACTTGATGGCTTTTCTTGTGGACTCCTCAGTGCTCTCTAAAATATAAATTACCTCTCAGATCATCCTTATTTAGGACTTGGAATCCAGTCGTCACTTTCTGATCAATATAACTTTAATAGTAGAATAAATTCAGAACTTAAGTTATATAGTAGTAGTAATTTGTACACAATACATGATCCAAAGCCACTTTCAAATGCCTGGCAATGAGGCTTATGAGGAGCACTGTATCTTAAAACACAATGGATTACCAGTTTCTTTTCCTCATTAAATAACACCTCATAAAAGGAACCAAACAAAAGATGGGTAAGTTTGATGACTGTCATATCCCACAACCTTTACTCAGAGGAGCAATGTGTTGCCTCCAGATCAAGTTCTCATTTGGAAGTTGCAGATCCCATTTGCTGACCTGAATATTAATTTTATGTTAATAAAAATATGTGTTGAAAAACTGGTTAAATATAGAATTGCTCTGGTATTTCAGATTTACATGGTGTTACACATGCTGTACTATTTTCTTTTTCAATGAGTGCAGAAGATACTCACCCCTTACAGGAGATGCCCCACAGACTGCAGAAGCTGGCCTTTGATAAAAAAGCTAAGACTTGAATTAATCTCTTTTCCAATTAGAGGAGGCACTTTTGCAATAATGAAGCTGTGCACCTGAAAAATTTTTAAAGATGTAAAATAAAACCCCCTGGAATTTGAAATATCTTGTTCTGTATTGCCTAAGAGAAACAAATGCAATAACAATGTACTTCCATTTACCTACTGGGTATCTTTAGCAGTGTTTGCTTCTACAAATTCTCTTAACAGATGCTGCTCCAATCATCATTTATCTGCAACACAGGCAGACTTTGAGAGGACTAAGGAGGATTTGCCTCTGGTTTCACACAGAGCACTTTTGTTTTTGAAGTTGAATTTCATAAAATAAGAACTCTGGATAAAAGTTAATCAAGCACAGCTGCTAGGCTTCCTAGGCTGCTAGGAAGGAGAGAAATATTTTCTGCCGAGATTTTTTCTTCACTCTTTCTCTGTCTCACTCTTTTTCTGCATTTATTGCTTAATGGCTTGGTGTTATTTCAAAGGCCGTTCCTTTCACAGATGTAATAAATTCGTGTATTCAGCACCACAGACGACATGTTACTCTCTTTAAAACCAAATCTCTGAAGGATAGACTAGAAAGAAAGGTTAAAGAGCTCTATCGTTCAAAGCGCTATAGTTCAGACACCTATAAATCACTACGTTTGTTTATTTAGCTAATTGGCCCATTAGCGGCCGTCGCATCTCAAGCTGCACAACTTTCAGGCGTGACCGTGGGTTAGTTTCTCCTTTCCCACTCCGGAGCACCGAGAGCCGAAAGCTCCGCGCAGCACACCCGGCACACGACGCGTTAGGGACAATCTGCGCTGGCAGCTCTGTTCGAGGAGCAGACCCCGCTCGCCCCAGCGACCCCGTCCTCCTAAAGACTTTCCAAGCCCAAGAGCAGATGCCACAGCGAAACGAAGTGGAGCCTGTCACTGCGTAATAGGATTTCAATGGAAACAGGGTTACGGGGCTGGCTGGCAGCAGCGGGAGCGGGGAGGCGCGGTAACCCCGCGCCGCGGAGATGCGCACAGCTGACCCGGCCGGGGCCGTGCCCGCACCTGGGACCGCTCCTGCCGCTCCCGCCGCCCGCAGCGCGGACCGCGGCCGGGCAGGGGCGGCCCCACCGCCGGCCCCCGCAGCGACTGCACCGGCACCCCCCAAACACAGACACGGCAACTTCGCGCACCGCCCCCAACTCACCGGGAGGCGCCGGTCCCGCGGAGCGGTGCGTCCCTGGATGCCGCCTCCCGCGGAGCGCAGCCCGCAGGGGCCGGGCAGCGGCGCGGCCAGGGGGAGAGGGAGGAGAGGCAAGTTGCGGCGCGTCTCTCGTCTCTCTTCTCTCCTTTTCTCTCCCTACCCGCCTCCTCCTCCTCCTCCCCCTCTCTCCCTCCCCCTCCTCCGCCCGGCGGGAGGGTCGGGGGAGGCGGCGGAGGGGCCGGAGCGCGGCCGCGGAGCGCGGCGCGGGCACTGCGCATGTCCCCGCGCCGGCGGCCGCCAGCGGAGCCGGGGTGCGGCGGCGGCAGCGAGCGCAGCGCAGCGCGGCCCGGCGCGCCCTGCGGAGGCTGCGGGGGCACGGCTGCCGCCGCAGCGCCTCGCTCCGCCGCAGCGCCTCGCTCCGCTGCCCGCCTTGCGGCACTGCCGCGGCCCCTGGGGGTCTCGGCCGCCCCCGAGCAGCGGAGAGCAGCTGCGGCCGGGCCGGCGCTGCGGCGGCGGATGCTGGGGCCGCCGCCCCGATTGCTGCACAGGGGACTGCGCGGCTGGAGGATGCTCCGGTGGCCGGCCTGAGAAGGAGGAAAAAGGGACGAATTTAAACATCCTGGTCTTGGGGCTTTTTTTTCTCCTCGTTAATGTGCGTGACTGAAGAAGACAGGTATTTTGACAAAAGGAACCTCGGCATAGTTACTGGTGGCTTTTTAATGTTGTTCCAAGGTCTTCAAGCAAAAGAAATAACCGTATTTTTACATTATGTAGGGAAGCGCAAGGACTGCAAGTGAAAAGCACTGTAACAGCAAAGGCAGGAAAGGCTGCAAAAGCAAAATACCGAACTGAGATCTCTGGGGATTTTTTTAGGGAAATTGCACAATTACTACGAGTTTCCACCCATATGTAAGGACTGACTTAACACCCAGTGAGCTCTTTCTTCCTGATAATAAGTTCAAATCCCATATGCCATTTTGCAGTAGCAGTACTGTCAGATGCGTGGCTGGCTCAAGGTTTGAGCCTGGATCTGCACTTGATGTTTTCCAAGCAAGGATTTGCCTGTGCAGGAAAGTGCTAGTTTGTTGCTTGCTTGGTTGCTTGGTGTTTTTTTGCAAATCCAAATACAGCAGTACCATCAGCATTTTCATTTTCACCTAATCTTTGGCAAGATTACAACTCAATTTATTATCTCCACGTGTATCCATCCAATGACTCCTCAGAGCTGATCTGTTCCTCATCCTGTCTTTCACGATTGCCAGCTGTTGGGTTCCTCTGTTGATTTGTTAACCTTTTTTAAAATTTTTTTTTAACCTTCTTTGAGCTCTTTATCCAACAGCTTCTGTCTGCACTGGGTGACATAGTCCATGATTAGCAGAGTCCAGCACATCCCAGTTTGTCCACGTGGCCCCTGCAACAAAATGCATATTATTGTAGCATGTAGCCTGTCAGTTCTTGTAATATCCAGCTGATGGTTGCCATTTTACCAGTCTAGTGTTGCTTTTTTTCTCTGTTCCTGAGATGCTGCTATACTGGCAGACTGCTGCTGACCTAATGGTGGTTGTCTCAGACTTTGTTTTCTCCAGTTTCTTTTAACCACAGTTCTTGCAGAAAGTTCCCATCAAATCATTCTGTTGTAATCAAGAAGACTTTGTGAAACCCCTAACATCTGTATCCATGTCCCACATGGTAACTCTGCAATGAACCCAACTACCCCAGAGACCAACTCTTTCACCTCCAACTGGTTTCTGTAGTCAGTGAAGGTTTGCACATGTGGAGTCTTGAATTGGCACTTTTGTTCCACCTCTGCATTCCTTCATTCTTGACCAGTGGTTCTTCTGCTCTACTCAAGCCTTGTAGATATCCTACAAAGAGTGGTAGGCCATAATAGCCATTTGGCGACTCTGTAGTGTTTTCAGTTTAAAGTATGAGTTGTGAAATTGTGATTTGTAGGAAATTTTGGAGGCTAACAGTAGGCTGTAGGTCCAAAAAGATTGGAAACAAATGTTCTAGCAGCTACTCCCCTTCAGCTGTATCTTTTGGCACAGTTCAATGTCATCAGCAAAATACAGTTTTCATTGAGTTTTGTACAAGGGATGCACAAAGCATGCCAGTACACTGAAACCCAGAGGAACTTTCCATCTCTTTAACCTTACTGTAGACATTTCTGGTTCCTCCAGATAGTTAATTTGGATTTAATTAGTTGAAAAAAAAACCTTTCAAAAATCATAAGCTTAATAAAGTCCATATATTTGCTTTTGAACAAGAGTCACTACATATGGTATAAAAGGGTATTACCATAGCAATCTGGACTCTCACCTTAACTTGTACTCCTGCTAAAATGGGAACAAAGCCAAAGACAGTTCTAAAGGAGAGGGGTGGCTTTTGCTGGCCTCTTCCTTTCTTTTCTCCCACCTCTCATCTCCCCTTTGCCCTCCAGCTCCAAATACCTTTTGATTTAATTTATCTGCCTATGTGTTTAGGAAGAAGACAATATTGGATGTTTCTCTTCATTTGCAGCCCTAGTCAGCAAACAGGCTCGTCAGGAAGGTCAGGGAGGTCAGAAAGGAGAGATACAGAGAATAAGGGACAGGAGCTTGTGATCTCTTGACAAAAGGCAAGATCAGGCATGGAATCAAAACAGAGGAGTAAGAGAGGGGTCTAAAGGTGATGGGTAGCCAGTGGGATGGAGAGATATGAGTTCCATAGGCAACAGGAAAAGATTAGGTCCTTCAAAAAGGCGGGCAAAAATCAAGCAATCTCAGACATTACTAACTCTGCACTCCACAAGAGTGAAACTATTCCCTCCTGTCATTTCTGTGATAGGCACTCCCCAAGGCCCCCCACTGCTGCTAGAGCTCCAATATCTGAGGCATTGTGCCTCACACTGGTGACGTGCTCTCTGCCACAAGGGCCTTACAGTTTAGCGTGACCCAAAATGCAACAAAGAAGTGTAACAAAATATTGCACGACACCAGGAGAGGAAGGACAGCTGGAGTCTTGGAAGGCTACATTGCATTTTATGTTATATGATGTCACAGTGATAGTCAAATTAAATAATGGACAAGTAATGTACACAGAGAGCAGCAACCCACCCTCCATCTCAGGCATTTCCACTGTCTTTTTTTGTCCCATTCAAGAATGAGGAAATCCCAAGCACTCAATTTAACCTCTTTTCCAAGGGCCTGTTGTTGGTGGTAGTTAGGGCAGAAGACTAACACAGACACAGCTGAAGCACAGCATGTCCTACTAGAGGTCACAGCCTTTGACTTGTAACATTCTGTGAGAGCAGCAGTAGGGAGCAGCTGGACACGTACAAGCTTTGCCCTGACTCAGCCTAGAACAGCCCATCTCTGTCCCTTGTTCTGCCTTGCATTGCACTGTCACGGCTCTTTGCAAGTGAGCTGCGTACAGAAGTTCCTTTTCAGCTGGACCAGTTCCCAGGGAAGGCATGCAAATATTCTGCCAGCCAGCGTGGGAAGAGTGTTAGGGGCAGGCAGGGAGGCAGCAGGGCTTGTAGAAGCTGCTGGAGACATTCTGCTCCAGAGGCACAGGACTGGCCTCAGCTGTGCTTGTGCAAAACAGGTTGTTTTACTAAAATGCATTTTCAGATGCCTAAAATGGATTTTGGTACTCAAGCTGGACACCTTAGGTTTCATTTTCCTAGGATGGTAATCACTAAGCCAGCAGTTCACCTCCCCCAGAGTGAGGAGGCCCTGTTCCCAGACGTGCAATCCCATAATTTTGTCAGCCCTACTACCTGTGAATGAATGAAGCCCTTCAGTCACCAGTGTTGGTCACTAACCAAGCAGAAACGTGACCTTGAAAGAAACAGCTGCGTGGTTTTCTGCTGTGTCATTGAGTTGTATCAGCCAGCTCACAGGCAAGTCAAATAAGCTCCAGAGCCACCATAAATGAGGAGGCAGGCTCTTTGGCTGGGAAGAAGTTTGCCTTAGAGGAGAAGGGAAAGAAGGAACAAGACTTCCCCCTTATGGCAATATCAAGCCACTGGATAGGCTTAGGTGCTCACAGATGCAGCTTGAGAGGTCAATTTACACGTGTTAAACCAGGAAAAAACGAACTCTGCGGGAGCCAGCAGTGCTGCAGTTTGCTGCAATCCCTAAATTCACTCCTATTTCCTAGGAGGAAATGGTGATAGTTCCACATCTCTTATTAATGTAGAAATACTCATTAAAGAAGTTTTATTAAATAAAATTGGAGAAAAATCAGTTCTCAGCCCACAGACTTCTTCACTTTGAAGAAAGAAGTACCTTTTGAACATATATTGAGGCACATCCCCTAATTATCATTTGTACATAGTATAAGCAACACTCATTATAAAGAGAATGCAACTTTAAATCACACAATGTAAATTTCCCATGAGTTCCTAATGGCAGAGCAGTACCGTGGGTTTAAATAAGCCTTTTCAGTGTCTCCCACTCCTGTCAGTTCCTGGGGTGAAGTGTGCCCTACCTGCTTTAAGACAGGGAAGATGTTCATCCTTGCTAAGCTCCCTCTCACCACAAACTGGAAAAAAAGTTTAAATAGACTGATGTGTTTCTTTCTTCATGCCAGGCCTGCATCACTTCTAACTGCTCATCCCTCTAGCATGGACCTTATCCTCACTTAGCAGAGTTATTATGACATGGCCTGGAGCTGCCCACAAAGATAGCAATTACTCCTCTCTCTAGTGTTGGCCTGCTTTGCAAGAGGCCTGGGCAGTCCTACTTCTTCAAGGAGCAAAAGGGCCTGAGGATACCATCACCTCTGGAAATCAAGCCATTAGGGATAGGAAGAGGAAGTGAAGGAAGGCATGGGGGCTTGTAGGAAAGCATTGCTTCCATTCAAGGAGCACATCAGTAAGAAGCTGCCCAGTCAAGGGGAGAGAGTAAATAATCTAATAGAACTTTCTTACAGGCCAAAAATCCCACGAAAGCCTGGATGGCTGCACACCACATCTCTGAAAGCAATGACAAATCACATTATGGTTGAGGCATGTAAAATAGTTCTGTCAAAGCAGTGGCTCCTGGCATGGCCGATTTGACTGAGTCGTCCTTAGTGCTGCTGCCTGGTTAATGCTGAGGCCTTGAGGGCAAGTAAACTAGCTTCTGGCTGAAGTGTTGGGCTGAGGCTTCTTCCAAAGGAGAGAAATGCATCAAATGGACAAAGTCATTCCTTGTGATACCACCCCTGGGGGTAGCTCACTTCCATGCTTTCCACCAAGGGGGAAGGAGAGAAGACCTCAGTAATTGCTGTATCAGCAACTACTGCTTGCTCGACACTTGATGAGCAGCACCTGGACCCATGCTCAGCCTCAGCAAATAACTGGTCCTGCCAGTGTGGGGCCCAGCTGTGGCTTCCCATCACCTTTCCAGCCTTGGAGTGCCTTGACTTGGCTGTAATTACTGCTCAGCAGCCCAGCTGCAGCAGCAGAGCAAGGGCTGCAGTACATCTGCCCAGCACTTTTTCACACACAGCTTTCCACCCAGGAATCCTATTGTCATGAGACATTAGATGTTTTAGGCTCATTAATTCTGGTGACACAATCCAGAAGTGTATTTTTAGAGGGGGTGAGCAGGTGTCCATAGCAGCATTTTAGCTGACAGTGCTGCAGAATTGCTATTCAGGAAGACTTGGTTGTTCTTTGTATCTTGATTTGTTGCTGAAAAATATGGTTTTTCTTAATATTTTACCTTTACTTAGCTTCAGGAATGGCCTGGATGAGACAAAGAGAAACATTTGCACCCATGAATGGACTTTGATCTAGGAGACTGCCATTAGGAAACTGGATAAGTAGTACTAATTCATCTTAGTATTGATTGTAGATGATGGTTGGGAAAGGGTATGAAAATAAGAAATGAAAACTAATGACTGTATCAGATTGAGAAAATATTTTAGTTCATAAAATTACATCATGATTTTTTTTCCAACAAGTATTAGAAATCTGCATAAAAATTATTCAGCCAGAAAATTGGTTGCTAGTGTTAAAAATAATGACAATCTATATTCAGTTACAAACTATTTTCATTAATTTTTTTTTTTTGCATAAGTACCTTAAATAAAATCTTTAAGGCTGCTATAATATAATCCTCCATCAATATTTTTAAACTGCTAGGCAAACATATGTAGGCTTATAGAGCTCATTTTCTAGAAGAAACAATACAGTAAGTGAGTTTGAGCTAAACCCATCTGAATGTAATTACTAGGATGGCAAACAGGCTTCTAATGACAGTCACAAGCATCATGCTTGAATCTACAAATTATTTAGTTTGTCTGAGCTCCCATTCTTTGTATATGTACATATGCATTTTATTTTGCTGCAGCAAAATTCAGGACATTCTGCTGGCTATGGGAAATTAAGGACTGATTTCCCATTGCTATATATGAATAGAGACACTGCTGTATAGAGGCTGAAGTGATCTCCAAAACCAGAGAAAATCCCTTTCAAAAAATTCATTACCACAGAGCAGCCTATTACAAATATGTGGTCTGACCACAGGGCAGGTACTTGGAAGCAAATCAAAACTGAGTAGAAAAAAAAGATTTTTCAAATTCACTAATAGTCATTTCAATTAATAGCCCACCTGCTAAGTGTAACAAACCTGAACATATTGTGATCATTAGTGCTCTAATGTAGCCTTTTGTCAAAAAAAAACCCAAACCAAGCTTGAGACAGTGTTGAAAGACAAATCAATGCCAGTGCCACTCTCTGACATACTGAGGTAAAAGGTTGATTCTTGCAAAGGCTAGAACAAATTCCTTGTCTTTAGGCTAAGAATGATGAATTATTGCTTACAAAGACAGCAGAAAAATGTAGAGAGTAGGAAGGAGAGCTGAGGTCTTAGTCCAGAGCAAGAGCTGTGTGGTGCATGAAGAGATTTACATTTCTCAAGGTGAATACTACCCTGCTGTGAGACCAGAAATTAGTAGACAAGGTACTGCAACCTCTTCCCACCCAAAATAGGAAAGGGCAGGGTCTGTCTAAGTGGTTCAAGGTCTGGGCAAGGAAGGGCTCAGGTCCTGAGGGGGAAGAGGGGATTAGTGAAAGGAGTTCAGGCAAATGCTCTATTTGAATGACAAATGCTTCACCACTGTGACTTCTTTTCACAGCTGACTGCATTTAGGAAGATGCTTGAAGGATTGCAGCCTGAAGCAGTTGACCTTTCCCACCTCCCTTTCCAGGAAGCTGGAGGTCAAATGAAAGGTTCTGGATTCCATGGCACGCTAAACCCCACGGGTGGGGTGGCTCTCGTGGCTGTGTGCCTGAAAGGAAGCACCATCAGAAAGGCTGTAGGTGGGGGCAGTGGCCATGGGGCCATCAGCTCCTGGGAAAGCAGCTGCAGCCCCAGGGAAGTGCGCTGAGCCACTCCTGGTGCACGACTCTGATGCCATGGAGTCCAGCTCCAGTCTTTCTGCCTTTGAATTCTGCAATAGTTTGGTTTTCCTTTCAGACTTCTCATATGGTTTTGAATTGTCAAGCAATCAGAAGTAAAGCCTGGAAGACCTGAAAAAAAGAAATTTTTTAATCTTAAGAGTGATTTTTATGGGTATGTATATCTCCTTATTTGTATGTTGATGTCCTACAAATAAGAAAAAAGGATTTTAAGAAATAACCTTGAAGTTAACTTTTAATACAGGAATCATAATTCCTTGAAACTGTAGAAATTAACTTTGAACTAAATGCATACTTCAGGTGCCCCAAGACAGTGATGTATTTAAAATGACAAGCAAACAAAATCTATTACATAGACAGAATTTGCAGACAGAATAAAATTTAAACAAGTCATTATTTGAAATACAAAAATGTAACATATATGTTACTTTAAAATAAGTTAGATGAATTATTTTTCTACTTTCTTTTCCCACCTTTCTAAATCTTGTGGAAGGACATATGCCTCAGGCAAACTCCAGAATTATTTCCTTTTTTGGTAAGAGTCTTTCTGTTTCAAAAGCTATCTGGTCAGAAATATAGCTAAAGCTATACAGGAGGAGTAAAGCTTTTGATTTAGTACAGCATTAATATTAGGAAAGATGTTTAATGCTCAATTTTCTGAAGTGTCTTTACTGTCAGATATCACCCTATATCAGTATGCAACATTCACTCTCAAAAATGCCTACTACGCTCTTTTTGGTGTTTTGGGGTTTTTTTTTCTTCTTTTTGTAACAAGGTAAATAAAACAAAAATAAGCCAAGGTTTTTGTTTTGTTTTGGTTTTTTTAGTTTTTTTTTTTTTTTTTTTTTTTTTTTTTTTTTTTTGTTGATATTAGTTCACTTCCAGGGGATCAGTTGTCCTGTGTTGGCTGAAACAATCCTGGTGTGCAACCCCCTCTTTTTGATATCTTCAGACACTGTTTTCTTACAGTCTGCATAACCTGCTCCTGCCTTTGCTGCCTTACATGCTCCATGAGGTACCCTCTGGGATACAGGATACTTTTTGGGGGCTGTTGTGTGAGTGTTTCAGCTATAGTAAAATCTGATTTCTCATCTCTAAATACAAGATAGGGTAACAGAAGAAAAATGTAGAGAAACTCCTATAACCCTGTAATCTAGCTGTGGTTGTTCCCCTCCATTTTATCTGCCAAACAGCAGATGAATCTGCTGCTATGCCAGCAGATTAATTCCCATGCAGCAATAGTGTGGACAGGGCCTGGAAACAATGGAAGAGGGGCAGAGGGAGAGAAAACCTTCTCTCTTCCACATAGTCAGTGGTCCTATCCACAGCAATGGGGACACAGTAACAGAGGCTTTCCTTCTAGTTTCAGCAAGCCACAGCAGTGCTGAAACACTCTGCTCCCTTATTCAGTGCTGTGTGGTGCCTGCCACCCCTTTTTGACTTATCACAGCATTTGTATCAATGAGCCCAAATCATAATTTTAAAAAATGGGATTATTTTACTGTCTTGAATTCCTTGAACTGGTGACCAGATCTTAAGAGCTGATGAAGAAACATTAATGAAGACACAAATTCTTTATATATCCATCAAACTACAGTCTAACAGCTGAATATCTGACTTGTGTCTTTTCTTCTTCACTAGATCCTTTTCCTCCCTGTCCCCACTGGCTGCACTGTATAACCATACCACAGAGTAGTTAATGTAATTATTGGGCAAGATAAATCAATGTGGGCTTTGAACTGCCTGTGTGTTTTGTTCATGTCTCCTTTTCTGGGGCAGCCCTTGTACAGCCGGTGCAAGGAAGCAGAAATGTGCTCTCTAATCACCAAGTCCTCAAAGGACTAAAGCAATGCAGATCATTTTACCATTATAGTGGTAGTGATACAGCAGTTACAATGTCTGCCCAAGATTCTGCTGTAAAATAACACACTTCAGGACTTCCCAATGCAGCTACGGAAAATGTTGTTCCACTTTTCTGATTTTATGAAATCAGAAGCAAATCCTTAAAGAGCTTAAGATGATAATCTGGTTGGGTTTAATTTATGAGGAGTTTTTCTTGTGTTTAAGGGAGCGATTAAGGATTTGCTTTGTATAAATTCACGTCTCTGTCTGCTGGCATCAGAGTCAGGTATTGCTTTGTCTTTGTTTTAGAGTGAGAATCTTGTGTCTCCGGGCCTTGTGCCCTGCACCACCCTGTTTGACAGCATCCATCTACCATGGGCACAGCTTGAGGGGCAAACAGTGGTGGAAGGTGCCAAACAGGTGTCTGTCCTGGGCTTTTACCTCCTTCCTCTTGTTCTGGTAAATATTCCAACACTGCCTTCCTGAGAAGCTGCTTTAGCAGGGAGTGAGGGCTATGGAGAAAGCTGGTATTATTTTAACCTCAAGAATTAGTATATTCAACTGAGATAGACTGTGTGTCCATCATTTAGCTGGTGTAATTTTATATACACATAAGCCTGGGTTCAGTAGAGCTGCTATTTTGCATGAAGAAAAAGAAAGAAAGAAAAAGGAGGATCTTCCAGTAACTTTTTTACAAAAAGAGGAAGAGCAGCAGAAGGTCATCAAAGATTATAATATATCTGGGGTTGCAGAGACTGCCCTTTGAGAGAAATTCCTGTAAGGCATTTCCATGTCAGCTCATTCCTTGTGTGTACTTGTTATGAAAACTATCCTTGTTTTTTCCCAGCATTGAGAATTCAATTTCTGTTTTGTGACTCAGTTCTGTATTTTTTATCATTTCAGAAGACGCTCTGTCCCTCTAAAACATTACAATTTTCTGGTGCTGAAATGCCAGAAAGATTTGTAGTGACTTTCACCAAACCACCTGAAAAGTAGGTCAGTAGCTATACAATTTCAGGAGAGCTGCAATGCCACAGCAGAAACTGAGTTAATCCTGATGTATATGATGAATATACCTCCTAACCTCACTGCAGGGGACAGTATGGACATGAATATATCTTCATTAATCTTTACTCAACTGGTTATTTCCAAAGGGGAGGGCCTCATGACATTTTCATTTTCATTAAATACCATGGGGCCAAATCTCTTGAGCTTGTTTGTTCAAACAGAGGCATCTAAATCCAGATTTAGCCCATAAACTCTCATGAGGGGAAAATAAAATTTCATGGTAAGAAGAATGTGTAGAAAACATGGTATCAATTAATTTGTATCTGGAATTCCTCTTCCCAAAGTAAACCTGCAATTAGCTTTATTTAGATAAAGGACAAACCTCTCATAGTGATGGTTCAGCTAAATATGTAGATTTAGGTCTAAGCAGCTGCACAAAATCATTATTAAAACCCTGCAGGTAAGCCCTGGTGTATTCAGACTTAGTGAGTTTCCCTTGAGCAGTTCTTGCCTGTTGTATTTCACTTCAGCCTTGGTTTGTTGCTTTTAAATAGCTATTTTTAAAATTCTGAAATCTCTTTATAGCTGACAGACAGTACACATAGGCTGTAGGCAGAGAAATGGGAAGGGGAAGGAGGGAGAGCAGATCTGAAGTACGTCAGAATGAATGCAAACATTACATAATGTAACATGTAAACACTTTAAAAACAACGTTAAAGCCTTTTTAGATTGAACTGACACCAGAGAACAGAGCAGGAGTAAGCACACTAAGCTCACATATACTGCATGGAATCCCATCCAGAACAGTTCCCATTGAGCTATAAACCCTTGAACTGATGTGATGAAAAAAGGCAAATTAGGTGTCGATAACTTAAAATAAAAATAGAAATATCCAAGTAACTATAGGTTGCCTCAGATGGGGACTGATGGGGAGATGAGGGATTATACAGAGGATTTGGGTGGCCTTAGGTGGTGGGTAAACATGAGCTCCTGGTGGGATGTGTGGTTTCAGAGCACTAACAGCAGGCTGCAAGAAGCAGGAGATGACAGGGAGAAACCCAGCAGTAACCAACCCACTACCCAAATAACATCCAGACTTCAAAGGCTGCACATCAGGAGGTGGTGGGAAAATGGCAACAGAGGCATTGCTGGTGCTGCTGGGACGACCGGCAGAGCGGGCTGTGACAGTCTGATGGCCCTGAAAGGTTTTATCCCCATGAAGAGGGGACTGCACTGGCGAGAAGCAGCCTCTGTTTAGATCAGATGACACTGCTGAGAGGTAGAGGCATGAGTGAGAGGACCACAGCTGTCCTCCAGGGCTTTTCTTTGGGTGAGGGAGCTAGAAATACCCATAAAAAAATCTAATTAGCTTGTAAATGAGGAGATAACTGAAATGATCTGTCACAGGCTATAAATAACACTTCAGAAAACAAAATTCTAACAATGGCTTTATGGGTGGAAGCTGGAGCTGGGTAAGTTCAAGCTAAAAATAAAATGTAGATCTTGACCAGTGAAACACCTTATGACAGGATGTGGTTAGCTTCTCTCTCACATTAAATCTTTAAATCAGAATTAGATTTCCTTCCTTAAAAGAATTCTCACATTCAGTCAGCAGAGGATTGTTCAGCACTCTGCTCCCAGGGCAAAGGGTAAAATTCTAGAGTTATGCTGAAGCCTGAAATGATGCACCCTGGACTTAAAATCTGTGACTTTAGAATATCCACCCTTGAGCAATATGTGATTAGAAGGGTTGCAAATGTGTATTAATTAACACTGAAAAACTAATCAAAGTGGGTTGGTAAATCAGGCAACCATAAAGGACAAACTATAAAAACAAGCTAAATTTCAGCACTAGAAAATATGTGAGAAAGAAAAATGTTTCCAGTGAGGAACACTGCTCCTTCAAACCAGCCCTATGTAAGATAGTTAATTTATTGTAGGCTTTTTGTGGCTAATGCATGCTTACAAATTCCTCACTTGTGCATAGGTACATCAATTGCATAAAGTCCATGGAGTGTAGGCCTGTGTGGGGTTACAGAATTGCTATCAGGCTGTATATCTTCAGCACAGTCACACACTGAAAGCAGAGATGAGACTTGGGTCCTTCTCCTTCACAAGATTTTTTCTTTGAGTGGAGGATGTCGGTTTATGTGAGACACAGCTGAATGGCTTCAGCTTTGCCCAAAGAAAAAGGCTGCAGATGAATTTGCTATAGGAAAGTAAACCTTAGAAGCATGTAGATGCTTGTGAGATCCTCCTGGGATTTCCTCCCTAGTGTCTTAATGCGTCTGGTTAATTGTCAAGTGCCAAGTTTACATTCATCAATTAAGTGAGAATGATTACAAACTGTCTTACCCATTGTCACAGAGGCAAAGGTTCCTTTCAACTCTAATAAATTAAATTAAATTGGCTCAAACCCTGCAACCCGAGACAGATTAGCTTTATGTTGAGAGGCATTAGTTTGATTGACACCTGTCTGGTTGACTGGGAATGCTTACTAGAATGAATAGCATCAGACAATGGGTTTTTTTTATGTTATAGGAGGGATTTTACATTGATAGGGACAACATCAGCTGGTGGATGCAGCACCCGGGAGAAGCATTCACCAGTTATGTAGCAGTTATGTAGCATCAGTGGCTTTAGGTTATAATATAAGAGTCTTATGTAGCCCTGAACATGTGGATAAATGTGTGTAAATATTATCATGTTTTTTTTTTCATCCACCTAATTCCAGTTATCAAGGAGGAAACCCTGTGTATTTGCAGAGATCAGCAATTCAGTGACAAAACATATTTCACACATAGGATTTTTTCCACAATTCTTCCCAGTTAGGAAACGCTGGGGTGACATCAACACCTAGAGTTTAACTTTGATGCAAGGAAGGGCATCTAGGTGATCTTTACCTTGTCTATGTATTTTAAAAAGTCTTTTACACCATAAC